AGCAGCTCTATGAGAGGAGCAAGTAGAATGGAAAATGGACTCATTTCTGATGGAAATGACTCAAAAGCTTGCTTCCCTTTTCCTTCCCAAACTCCTGTGCTTTTTTTGCTTGTTTGGGGTTTTTTTCCAAAAGAAACTTCAACTTTGGCTATCCTAAAACATTCTTTGGTGAGCAAAGAGCTAATGAAATAAGCCAAAGTAAAAGAATAGATATTGAGCAACAGAGAGGGAGAACGACTTGTAGACAGACCATTTGACATTTATTCTCCCTTCCTATCACCCATTAAGATACCGCAGGGCTTTCTAGACATGTCAGGGCAAAGCCACCACCAACCTGGCTCGAAAGGCAGAAAATCAGGACAGGACCCACGTTTCTGGAAACCCTCTGTAGGCTTTATTTAAAAGGAGATAAGGATGAAAAGGTAACAAGATGCTTGACAGATGTAAGATGATGAGAATCTAGCTTATCTCCTGCTTTTTTGTTACAACGAAGTATGGGTGACATTGGGGAAAATGTAAAGGCACAAGCACCAAGGACGTAGCACCAAAAGAGGACTAGGAAGAAGACGCTCAATACAGGCTAAAAAGGTCTGTCCCAGCAGAAGCTGAGCATGCTGCCTCTGGTCCAACAAAGCACTTAAGCATGTGCCTAACTTAAGTTTTACTTCACTGGGGCTCTTCACAGGCTTAGAAGTTAAGCACATTCTCCAGCAATCTGCTACAGACCGGACAAACAAGTAGCTAGTAAAGGACCCGAATCTTAGTCAACAGCAAGATTAGCGTGCTTTGGAAAGCACCCAGCCAAAGATTACTGTACTATGGCAATTTCCACTGATTTAGGAACACTCTAAGCCATCAGGAAAAGCTTCTTAAATATAAAATAACACACAACAAAGTTTAGATATTAATAATACCGCTATCACATTCTCTTCACCTTCTTTCAGCTCCAGGTAGGTGGAGCTCGAAGCAGAGCTCTATCATTATCTACAGATACATGCAGAACTGGAACTCCCTTGTTTCAGTGTAAGCTGGTGCCAGCTTGAAAAACACCACTGAATTCACTGTGCTGTTTCTTGATGTAGGAAATGCTGTCCTGTAGGTAGAGCACCGACCTCAAATGCCTAACGGCCAACTCCCACAAACAGCAAGGTAAGCCACAAATAGCTCCTCCAACTCCAGCAGCATACCACAAAGGCTGGTATTTGGCATAGGAGCATGTCCCACTGCATATCTCTGTCGGGTTTGTTTCCCTCCTTAGAAATGTCATAACTTAACACTGTCTCTCCACACTGCGTCTGTGGCAGTGCCACCGGGAGCTCCAGCATCATGGCTCAAAAGCAGCTCTAAGATAAACAGCCTGGAGCAGCCAGGACCCATGGGCACAGTGGCTGCTCCTCCTGCTCTGCTCTGACCGACTCCAGGGATGCAGCAGCTGATGACACCTTTTGGCTTAAAAATTAGTTCTCTAATGGTAGTGGAAGAAAATTAGTAAGTCCAAAGCACTACAACAAGTTGTAAGTACAGAAAAGGCATATTTAGGCATATACTCCCTACATACACGCACAGAGCTTAATTACAACAAAGCAAGAAGCAAAAAACAATGTCTTTATTAATCATTAAAATCTCACTGCAGTGCTGGCTTTCCCCCTAGCAAGTTAATGCTGTACAGTGAGAAAGTAATGATCAACAGGCTTTTAAAACTGAAAGTGATTCAGGATAAATATGAACAGTGGTTCCCACAAGAAAACTTAACATTTCGATGGAGCAGCATTTGCACCTTACTCAGACCCAAGCCTTGCAAAGCTTGCTAGCTCCCTCTACCGTCTTCATACTGCAACCAGAGTCAAAACCTTTCTCCACATCCTTGGGAAGCACTGGCAGGTGAGGGAAGGGTTTTATATCCGGCTTATTTGGTGCAAGGATGGCTCTGGGACCCTCTGCAGGGAGCAGGAAGGGCAGCCGCATGGCCACCTCCTGCTCAAACCAGTCCCTGCCCCGAGCACTGCTTCAGCAGCACCTGCTCCAAGGAACAGCATTTATTTTATGGCCAATCCACTCATTTTATTTATTATCCCTTCATATCTTTCTATTACGAGACACTGGTTCAAGACATAAACTGTGGGTCAGTGGGGATCAGCTGCCACTTTGCCTTTACACTGCCAGCGTGAAGATAAATACAGGCAAGACATGTTTTTGTTTCCCCACCTTACTTCTGAAGCCCAATCAACCAAGCTGTAGGATGAGAGGTCTCTTCCACTACGTAGTTTGTAGGTTACATAAACTGACAAAACTACAACGTGTAGATTCAATGCAGCTGACTCTTGGGGCTCTCCAGACCGCTCCTGCTTGGTTGAGAGGGAACAGAGCACTAGAGCATTGACATGTCCAAAGAGTGCAACTCCCAGGAGAGAAAATTCACAGTGAACCCCGCTGTGATTTTCAGGTGCCACCTCACTTCATGCGGCAAATGTTACCACCACATGGCTCTTGCCAGCACAGTCCAGGGCAGAGTGGAATGCTCTAACCTGTACAACTCGCAGAGCAAACTGGACAGTTTCAAGGTTTTAAAACTGTTACTTGAGGTACAAAGGTCAGGGGAGGCCCCAAACATGCACCAACCAACTCCAAAATAGGGCAAGGGCACTTAACAACAGCTCTGAAAAACAGAGATAATTGAGCAGCATGCTATAATTATCGAGCATTGTTCCAATTCCCGTTTAACATCTTCACATACCAAGCTATTTTAAATAAACACCCACACATGATGCTGACAAAGTATTAGTCTTGATAGATACCCTCTGAGCTACCAAAGGACTGAGCAGGATTCCAGGCTAGAAGCCAGCAGCAAGTTTCACAAAGTTTCGTTCACAAAAGGTCATTCCCTTTTTCATTCCTAACCCAGGAAGAGCCTTGTTTCACCACAACACCCAAGTGAACGCACGAGTACCTTCTGGCAATCCTCTGAAGCTGAGATGTTTTACACTTGGCAAAGGCTGAAATCTCACAGCCCCGTTTCACATCCAGATCTGGAGAGGTCAGCTTTTTACACTTCACTATTTGAGGGAAAACAGGTGAAGTTTCAGGACGTGAAGCTCTCCTTGAACTTGACAGCGTTAACATGCAGCTGTGTGGGGATTTGATCTCCTCAGGACTACAGCACATAAAGGTCACTGCAATGACAGAGCACCTTCAGGCAGCACGTGTACCTGGAAAGTCACTTCAGCAGTTCCTCAGCATCATGTAATGTTACCAACTGCCAAGTCTATGGGAGTTTGAGGTTTAATCTACAACTAAAGATTCTCCTTGGCATAGCAGCAGCAACTGGATAAAGACAATTGCCTTTCACCACCAGTTTACATACTGTTAGCTAAACATGATCTGTAGGAAGATACTTCCAACAAATCAAGAATTCCATAAGGGATCAAAATTCTAAACATAAATACAATTAAAGCCTTCTAATATTAATGCACACTTTTTATTATATTAAAATCAGGCAATGGTCTGATACAATAAAAAGGCTGCTTATGGAATACTGTTATGTTAAACTTTAATTACAGAGGATGTTAAATCCTTACAACTAATATTTTCCTCAAAAGAGTTAATGGAAACATCAATTGTTCATTGACTTGATAGCTGCTGCTTTAAAATGTGTTCATTTTTACTCTTTTCCTTTTTTTTTTTTCCTTTTTTTTTCTCCTTTTTTTTTCTTTTCTTTTTTTACACAAACACTGAATTTGTTCATAAAACTCAGGACACACTAGGTTGGTTGTACGTAAGCTTGCATCCACATTTCAGCAGTTAGTGGTCCGAAACAGTAAACCAGAAAAGGCAGTGATTTGCCAGGATGCAAAGCCAATCAAGGTCCTCAATCTGCTGTACGCACCAAAATCTTCACTGAGGAGATTTCTCTTCTAAGACTTACAGAATCCTAAGGAAATCTACCACACTTATTTGATTTGTCTGTAGTCGTCACATCTTTAGAAGGGCCAAACATAAGTGCAACATTTTGTTAATTAACATTCTTGGGTCAATCCAAAGCACCAAAATACAACTATTTGAGCTGGAGTGTGTGTTCAGAATCTCTGTATGCAGGGTTTCCCCATAGCAGTTTGGCAGCAGCAGAAGGTTTCAGCAATCCTGGTAAATTACTGCTCTTTTCACCACGTCAAAAGCCTATCTAATAACATCAGCCGTGGCCAGCTTGGCGGTGTGGCAGCAGTGCTGGAGGGACAGGGGAAATCCAAGTTTGCGAGCAGAATAGATACTCTCGTTTCCCAGGCTGGTGAAGACTAAATTTGTTGCAAAACCAAAATGATAAGCAGGAGGGAACAGGTCAAGTTATTGCCCCAACGCTTACCCCTGCTGGCCAGGGGTGAGAAGAGTCACAAAGAGGGGCAAAAAGAAAGCAGCACCCCCACTAAAAAGAGGGGAAGAGGGAAGAGATTAAAAGAACCCTGAATCCCTCACCCAAAGCCCACATCGCTAGTGAGGGGGACCAGGAAGAGAAATACAATCTATGCCTTGGCCAAAGGGAAGAAGGATGCTAGCCCCAAGATCAGGGCATTTAAAAAAAAAAAAACAATAAAAAACCCAAAAACGACCACAGTCACATTCAGCCTTTACTAGAGATAGCACAAAGGGAGGGATGACTGAGGTTAGCACACATCCCCATTAGTAGTCCATAAAGCCCAGTGTAGTACTGGAACCAAAAACCTTTGTGTCTACTCTAATAAATAGCCCTGAGCTTCGACTCTATTGCAAAAGACAGAAAAAAACCCAAACCCTAGGCCAGACACACAGCAAGGTGATTGTGGGATGGATGCTTTCACAGTTACGTTAGATGTGCCACACTGGTCTTGACAGTAATAAATTTAAATAGACTTTTCCTGATACCAGAAGTTCAGCTATGTGGACAGTGGTTACATGACAGGATTATTTGTTATAGCACAACTTATATTTCAAATGAAGAAAAAAAAAAAACCCAACCAAAAAAACCCCAAAAAATTAGTATCATTTACAGTATCTCATGAAAAAACTTCCTTTGAATGGGAACTTCCTTTCCAGTATTCTGAGGTCTACAAGATGCATCTAGAAAATTTACTACTGTGGAAAATGAAGACAGCTTAAATTGAATAAGGGGGGCATGGTTTTGTTTTTGTTTTGTTTTTAATTAATTGCTGTAACATTGTCCTTCAGGTGGCTGAGGAAGTTTCATATTTTCTTTAGACATCATTAGACGCCGAAGCTCTTGCAGAACAACTTTGATACTATAAGAATTCTGCCATTTTGCTAGGACTGATATGGCTCTGGGGTCCACCTAAAATAGACAAAGAGATCATTCCTGTCAGAATCGGTATGTTTGATACACTTAAAACCCCCCCAAACCCTCCAACTAAAGAGGCTGTAAGAAGTCTGAGTGGGAGAAACCAAAGCAAGCAGAAGCAAGCAAGCAGTTTCCTAAAAGCATAATAAATCCCCGCATGATGCAACTACTTGTGAGTTGCAAAAGGGCAGGAAAAGTCAATTCCACATTTTTGATTTCAGAACACACTTGGTGTGTCCACTTCCCTCCTACCCCCTTTTCCTTCTCAAGGCAAATGGCACCAGCAAGCAGCAAAGAGCTAAGCAAGTTGCAAGTATAAAACAAAGCATTAATTGGAAGCTGCACATGAAAACCACGTTAAAACGAATAAAACAAAAAACTTACCACTCCATTAGAACTATTTACTCCATTCATATTAATTTTTGTTACAAATCTTACAAATGGAGGTGCTTCTGGATACTTAGGCCCACATTCTATTTTAAGGCTGTATATTCTGTTTTCATAAATTGTCTGAGGGGAGAAGAAAGGGAGGAAAACAATCACATCAGGCAGTTCAGTGAGCATTTGGTTAAAACAGTGGTTACTTTAGGGACATGTAAACTACTAAACATGAGGGCAGCCACTTATATACTGTGCTGGCTACCTCTGGTTTGGGTTCATTTTCTAATATTCAGAGTATCAAATGCTCCCTCTTCAGGGTAATAAATTCTACTGGTCTTTTAAGCATTGAATTTTCATATAAAGAATGAAACTGGCATTGCTTCCCATTCACCAGCTGAAGAGACTTTTTTAATCATATATATAGCTCAGACACCTACTTTTCAGCTAATCTTTATAAAGCAGCTTTGTTTTACCAGTCCACTAACCAGACTCTCTTCCTTGAAATTGAAGCCACAGCTTTAACTTAGGCAACTGCTTAAAGTGAGCCAGCCCTAGAACTGCACTTGAAAAATACCTCCTTGGTCATAAACCAATGTGCTGGTTCTCAGAAAGGGGAATGCTCTGAGATTGAGCCCATTGCAAAGTAAATCGGGATCCCAAACAGCATTGTCACTGTTTCCACTGCACTAACTCTGTTATACTTCACAGCTAATAGAAATCCTGGATCGCCAGTTCTTAACTAACCAACCAATGGATATAGATGAGAGACTACAAGGCTATATTGAATCTTCAATATTTAAAATTCATTAAGAGAAACAACCGTTAAGGTTATTCTGCATTCTGAGAGTAACTCTTTTTGATGTGCTGAGCCAGTGCAGCCTGGCACAGAGCTCCAGCTAAGCTGGGCAATGCAGGCAGCTGGCAGAAGTATACAGCAGCAAAAGGATCATCATGGGGCAGTTTAGGCAGACAAGATCTCCAGATTTAGAGCTTCTGACATGACTTCCTGCACCCTCAATGCTATAATGAACATTAAACTCACAAGGCAGCGACCACAACCAGAAATCCAGAACGTGAGAGTGCAGAAGCCCAGAAGCAGCTCCCGCTCAGCTGTGGCAGCAGAGCACAACACTCCACCAGGATCTTAAGAACAATATATAACTCCCTGAAATCCCTTTCAGGGCCTGTTACACCCCTGGACATCTTAATTTTTCCCTTATTAATGAGCTTTTGATGCAAAGCACTACCAAAAACATAAGAACTGACTTCCTGACCCAGCTGCTTCCCACGTGTGCAGACGAAGGGCCTTTAAACCAGCACTGGCCAGTGCTGGCTGACACCAGTGCCTCTTGGTCACTCCTCCAGCACCTTGGCCAGCCAGCCTTTCAGATGCCCAGCCATGGCAGTGACAAACTGAGTGCTGTGACAAAATTTTGGGGAGAAAAGTTATCTGTCAGCTCTGCTCGGCCTGCCCAGGTCTGCTGAGCCCCTGAGTGTGCCTTGTCCACAGGGCAACTACAGCCCAGAAGTTCGTGCAGGTTTTTAGGGTCTTTGCAACTAAGCACACCACATGAGGACTGCTGAATGGAAACCCTTGCCTGTGCACATGCCCACAGCCCATATAAAATATGTACAGATAAAGCTGAAGTTTTGACAGTGCCACTATTTTTAAATAGCTTGTATAAACAAGATGAATCACTGGCTGTGAAACTATCCACACAAAGTCTGGGAAGGAGAAGGATGCTTCCATGTATGGTAGCAGGGACATGCAGAGCAGCAGCACATATCTAACTCTGCACCACGGTTCATTTTTCCCTCCGGGATGCCCACGATAAGATTCTTCCACCTGCTTCAAGCATGACTGCTTTCTACCCAGAAGGAAATAGGATTTTCATTTTTATTTCCCCATTGCCAGAATACTCACATCCTAGTAAGAAAAAAAATGGTAATAACGTAACGAAGTATGAACAGCACTGAAAGCAGGACAGCAACTTATCAAACCAGAATGACTCAAAGTTCCCAGAATCTCTCCCAGTACAGCCCATTGCCTTCAAGCAATAAGAAAGCATGATGCTTTTGGAAAAAAAATCTATGTTCTTAAGTGTGTCAGAAGGGCGAAAGAGGCACAGCTGAAACATCTTCCATGGTAGTCCTCCAGCCTTGGCTGGCCCTGTGACATGAACTACACATTTCTATCACTGCTGGTAAGTCAGCACACGTCTGTTTGCACACTGCAGTTTCTATTTAATTTTCTAAATTGGATTTCAAGGTTGCTTAAATTCTCCATGAAGTGTATGCCCACAGCGAGCTTTCTTCACAGTCTTACTGCAGGCTCATTAACACTCTCTTAATGTTCTAAAATCAAATGCTGTTCTAGAAAATTATTTGGGCATATCATAAACACATGAAATGATCACAAACAGGGAGATGTTAACAATGGCAGACAAAAAAGTAAACAACACTTCTGGATGGAAATACTGCACATGTAATGCCATTTTAATACAAATACTTGTACAACTTCATGGTGTGTCGGAAAAGGCAAGTGACAGAAGGGAAACACATAGGGCAGTAGCATGGTTAAAGATTTCCTGTAAAGGTTTCCATATAATAGACAGAGAGCACTGGAATTATTGAGAAGTGAAACTGAGGCCAGATATAGAAGACAACATCTACTATTGAAGACAACATCTACTATTGCAGGAAGGAGAATCAGCTACTTGCACTACATGGCAAGGATATTAAGGAAACAGAACAGAGATACACAGTGAAACTGGAGAAACAGTCAAGTTTTGGGTTTAGAATACATGCATATGTACAAGGCACAATTAAGTCCTCAAGTTCACTACCAGAGTGGAGACCCGCAGTTTAGTAGGGTTTGAGGGGAGAAGAGAGTGAGAATTCAACAATACCACCACAAAGACGAGTAGCATTGTAAGAAGCTACTTTGGGAAAGAACATTCAGAGAAGAAATTAAATTCATTAAAATCTGAGTGTCCCAAGTTAGCTGAAACTCTACAAGAGCAAGTCAGTACTGCTGCAATAAAAACCAACCCATAAACTCAACAAGAAACAGCAGAAAGACTAGCAGTACTGGACAAAACATCCACATTTTACCTACATTAGCTCCATATGTAATCTCACTAGCCGAAGGATTTTAAACCTTGCTGTATTCAAGAGTACAGGATACTAGAATCCTGGAATCTCAAAAGTTATGTCTTAATGAATCTGTAAATATAAAGCAGACATGTAACAGAACTAACCAGAGAAAGGCACTAAAAATATTCCAAATTAAAATCAAAAGACACATAGATACATGAACCCCATTATTATGTGGAACTTGAACCTTCAACGTAGATCACTCGCTAAAGTGTTTTTTCGCTCATTTGTGCTTTGCTTTCTACTTCAGTTAGATTAAGAGAAGAAAAGGGAGAAGAAAAATACAAGTAACAGCACCATTTTAATATTTAAGCAGATAACTTACTCTTGGAGGTCCAATAATCATTCCTGTCCATCTTGTAAGTGTCATGTCTTCGTCGTCTTCAAGGCCCCAGCTAACTGTTCCATCACCTACTCCTTTCTGACCTTCCTCAAGTTCTTCCAACAGACGAAAATTACGAGGAACTTTTACTCCTGAAAAAAACATCAGAAAAATATTTTGAGTTGAGAAATCTGGTAAAGAAATAAAACTGAAGTAATTGCACTGATACTTGTGGTCATGCTGCAGAAAATGTTTTGGGTAAATCCATAAAAATATCACCTGTTTTTGAATGACAACATTTCAACACTATGAAAAGGATACTCCTATATTTAGCTTGGATTTTACAAGCAAAATCAAGGTGTCCACAATTAAACACACTAGAAGGATGACAGGCCAGGTATTGGGGCTGGCAGTAAAATGACAGGAAATCTCTGTCCATTCAGAGATACACACAGTATTATGGAGCTCTAATTAGCACTTGTCTGCATGATTTATAGTACAAAAATTTAGAAGATTCTACAAAATGAGAGGCTTGACTGCACTCAACTTACTCAGAGCTTTTAAAAACACCATTTAAATTTTAAAAATACCATTCAAGGCAAATAAAACTCGTAACAGTAGGTTAATCTGAAGTTAATTTAAGTGGGCTTTGTCAGCAGCAATAGCGTCCTTTGTACTCATGACCTCTACCATCAAGGAACTTACACACTTCTTAGATGTTGGCACATTTATCCTCAAAACACACAGCAGAACAGGGAAATTTTCTTATCTCTATTCCATTAATAGAAAACAATGGCATAGAGAGCTTATGTGACATATCCAAGCTCACACACTAAGTCAGTGGCAAAAAGGGTTCTTGAACCTAGGCCAGAGGGGACTTAATTACTCATTCTCCTTCAAGGTATCTGTAGCTCAATCATCACAAAACATAAATGCAGCCTAGGCCACCACTTCTCTTTTGTATTGGGTTTGTACGGCAAGCTTTTGGTAGCAGGGGGGGCTACAGGGGTGGCTTCTGTGAGCAGAAAGCAACCCCTGTGTCCAAAAGAAGCTTCCCCTGTGTCTGACAGAGCCAATGCCAGCTGGCTCCAAGACAGACCTGCTGCTGGCTAAGGCTGAGCCCATCAGCATAGTGCCTCTGGGACAGGAAGGCACAAAAACCCGCCTGCGTAACACCAGCAGCAGGCAGGAGTGAGAATATGTGAGAGAAACAAGTCTGCAGACTCCAAGGTCAGTGAAGGAGGGAAGAGGTGCTCCAGGTGGTGGAGCAGATTCCCCTGCAGCCCATGGAGGTCCATGGTGGAGCAGATCTCCACCTGCAGCCCAGGGAGCAGGCTCCTGGCAGAAGCCGTGGCCCTGTGGGGAGACGAGCCCGTGCGGGAGCAGATTTGCTGCAGGACTTGTGACCTCATGGGGGACCCACGCTGGAGCAGCCTATTGCTGAAGGACCTCACACCACAGAATGCAGTCCTTGATAGACACACCTGACATGGTCTAGTTGAGGCGTCCCTACCCATGGCAAGGGGGTTGGAACTAGATGATCTTAAGGTCCTTTCCAACCCTAACTGTTCTATGATTCTGTGTTCAAGGATACCCCAAGGAAGCATGATTCAGTAACACGGCTGCATGAAGAGAAACCTGGAGTCAGAAAAGTGGCACCAGAAGAAGCCAGACCTGCACTGGCTCTACCAAAGCACACGTGTGGGGGCTGCAGAGCACGAATCAAACACAACTCCATGCCAAATCTGCATCTTCAACTGCCAGCGAGACCGCGCTGTTACCATGGCTGCTGAGCAATACCAATCTTTGGCTGCAAACGGAAATGAGTCAGTTGGGGCTGGTGAAGCCATCCCCCTAAGATTAACCAAGCCCCGAACTACTAGTGGTAAGAAGACCTCTTGGGAACCACTGTTGCTTCCCCTGCACAAAAAGCTCCAGCATCTCCCCTCTCAGTAAGTTTTAAAAGCATGCAGTGTGTATTTTGTGTACCTTGGGCACGTGAAGGTTCAAGTATGCAGTTCATACCTGAAACATGACCAGCCACCCCATTTTAACTACATTCCCAAAGCTCTCCATGCTGAACAGAGAAGAGAGCAGTCTACCTCCAACACAGTGGATAAGAGAGCTGTGGGACAAGAGAAACAGATGGAGTACAAGTTGAAAGACAAGGTGCCACCTTTACTTACACACAACAAGCTATTTCACTACTGCAGCAGTGGATGCATGGGAACGCTGGTGATGGGGAATGACTCAGGGCTGCGATGCCTGGAGCTGCTGTCTGGGGTTCAGCCCTGCCTGCTGGCGCCCAGGGAAAGAAACAGCCAGCAAAGGAAGACAAAGAAGAAACAAAAGCTCCTTTTGGAGGGTGAGCTCCACCCTTGGGTCTGAGAGAGCTCTTCAACAATGCAGGTGATGCCACAAAGGAAACTGTTGGTGGTTATTATTAGAAACCCAACCCGAGCCTCTCCGCACTCACGGCAGCAATAAGCTGAAGCCAGCAGAAGACCTGCCTTGAATGTGTCGTGTTGATAAAAAATACTCTCTGTGGACCACAACATCGTGATGCTTAACAAACATCCTCTCAGTCTCTGTACTTCAGCACTTGATAATACCACTCCATATTTACCGGTGGTTCAAAGATAATTTACTGATATTTACTTAGACCAAAACAAATAACACAGGAGGAATCAGCTTTATGGTAAGCACACACAGGCCACGCATTAAAGGAGGCAACAAAAACCATTGCCTGTCCACCCTCTCTCTGCACATCACACTCCCTGTTCACAGAGTGAGGCAGGAATCCCGTGTGAAGAAAGTTAAGTGATCATGTAATTAAAAATGACATCATCATATATATATTCGAGAAGGCCACAACCAGGGCTGAAAGGCAGCTTTAACTGTGACATTTGCTAATCAGAGCTCGGCTTGGCTTTACAACCTTACAGGAAGAGAAGGCCACTTTACTTCTGAGCCCTCCGCAGATCCAGCTGCTCTGATTCAACATGAATCAGAGCCAGAAGAGTCAAACAGGATGGTAGAGTTCTGACAAGTCTGAGGTCTACAGAGAGCTAGCTAGTCATCCTGTGCACTGGCTTCCTATCACATGGAAAACGTTAACATAAATTACTATTAATTCCACAGCAACTGCTCACTTGAGAGCACTACAGAACATGAGTAGCAAAAGGAGGTGCCAAAAGGGAAATACATTGTAGTCAAGATTTTATGCACTTCACAGACAATAAAATTATCATGAGAGATGATTGGTCACTTTACAACAAACCACCCTGTCCAACAGCATCACTGCCTTCTAAAATGTTTTAATCCCTTATGCTAAAGCTCAGAGGTGTAACAGAAGAGAAGCACCTCAGCCACTACAGAAGGCAAGTTCAGAGTCAAATCAACGACAGTAATTCAGCTCCTCCCTGACACGTCCTCAGGAGATGCAACAGGAAGAAAAAACACACATATACATATACAAGACTATGGCCATATGATCACAAATGTTTTAAATTATTTCTGAATAACCTGCCCTTAAGGAAGGCAGAGTAAAAGACCAGATTTACCCTTCTGTCAGCCTGGAAAGATGCACAAAGCCATTAAGCCAACCCCATCTCCTCTTCACTTGCAATGGCCTGGAGCACTCATGGTCAGCTACCACATCCCACTGGGACCCCAGCCTCAGAAACCACACAAGCTTTATCACTTGTAGTTGCATGCAAACCTATCATCATGTTTGCTCTCCACCAAGATTCCTAGAAAGTGACCTGATCTTTTCTAGGCATACGCAGTATTTGGCAGACGACTTCCATGGCTAAATCATGGCAGATTCAGAGTTAGGAGATGTCCTGCACCAGCTGACACAACCATGAGTCAACTACGTGTCATCCTCCCGCCCCCCAGTAAATACCTTGCATAATCTTTTCAGTGTAGCAATGGAGACTTTCAAGGTAGTAACCAAACCAACCTGTTTTTCTAAGAGTAAGAAAACCTAAATAAAGCAAGAGGCAATTAAAAAGTAATCAGTTTGTTGAAAGTATTTTGTTATGCATTTTAATTTAGCCTTTGCTATGGCTCAAGAACACTCTCAAATAGCAGTTTCCTTTGAAACAAAAATACAGTAATATCTAGATAATTGCTTCACTTGCTGCTTGCCTGACCACAGAGAAACACTCCTAAAAATGGAACTGAAAAAGCATTTCCAAGCAAAAGGAGGTATTTACTATTAATCGCAACAGCAAACCTATGAAAGTTAAACGGTAACTGTACTGACAAGGTACGATCTCCAATGACACAGGTTTGTACAGTCTTTCTGAAAGCTCACCTTTTAGTAAAGGTGCATTTGTGAAGCCTCAACCCTGAACACTAGTTCACCAGTTACAAAAAAGCTGATGACATATTTTTATGGAAAACTAGAGACCCAAACTACACCAGAGACTGAGTTTTCCAGAAAGTGAGGATGTGTACTTTATGAAGTTTAAAGCTGCAGTTAAGAAGCTGCTAGGTTTTGGGTGACATCCATCCTCTTCAGCCTTCAAATGGAATCAGGACCTTCTGTTTTCACCTAATACCAGTGCTGCCAGGCAGACCAGTACTGATGAGCCTTCGCTACCACAACTCCTCACAACCCAGTTGTTTGCTAAGCATCAGTGCAAGACAGAGACAGCAAGCTGAAATGAGGACACCAGGAGTTTGACTGTGCCTGGTCAGAATCGCAGGAAGGAAAGTACAGAATTGTTCCTGGAAGACAGTTAAATGCCAACTTGGATTTTTAAAGAGCCTCAAGCACCCTCAGATTTACTTTATATCACAGCACTACTAAAGATGCACAACTGAATGTGTCTGACAATAGTTTTAAGAGTAATTTACCAGCCTGAGAGTTTTCTCATCTTAAATTTACACTCATGGGAAGTACATTATATGTTTTTAACAAGTTACAATCAACACTTTGTGACAGACTATATTTTTTAATCTTTCATTTTCCCCAGTTAGACAGTGGAAGCAATTCCACATTCACAGAAACCTTAATAAGCTGAACGCAGCACAGTGAAACAAGATGGACAATGCACCTTTGAGAGTAGACTCTCTACTTGAAGCATTTTCATCAGTGTCTGTAGAACAAAAACTACACCTCAAAAACTTCAGGAATACATTTCTCTTTCCTTTCT